TTATTTTTTAAGATCATGTGGTCGTTTTGAGCATCTCTATCAGGTTCAAATTTAGATTTTTGCTCAAATAACTTGGATGAAAATGAGAATTCAATTTCCTCCAAACCCGTTTTCAGACAGAACTGATCAGCAACGACCAGAAAATGCGGATCATTCCTCCACTTTACTGGAAGCACAAGCCAGCATGACCAGGAACATCATAAGGAAACAACTCATTATTTTTTTTCTACCTGATTCATCCAGCAGGGAAGAATTACCTTTTTGTGACGGGAAACTTTGAGCAACACGTGGAGCTAAAATCCTCCCACGGCAGCCAGCAGCATGTGCATCGGGAGCTGCTCTGCATTTTATTCAGCGTGTGTCAAATGTTGTCCTGGAAGAAGATTTTTTAGGTTGTAGCCACTGCTTACTCTGAATCACTCCTGGCACCGGTCAGAGCCGCACTGGAACAGTCCAACTTTGTCTGGGTTTGTCGAGGTCAGAAATGGTCAGCAGACAAAAACACATTTTCAGACTAAGAACAAATGAACTGGGCTTGTTTTCCACAAACGGAGCAGCGTAAGGTTGCAGACGAAAGATGAAGAAATGTCAACATTGCTGGTTTTATAAAAGGTCTTTTGCTGTTAGTTAAATGATTCTTGTATTATTTCTAAACCTTCACAGTTTTTTCTATAAATTGACTCACAGCAGCCACCAGCATTTCAAGGAAACTTACAGATTGTTTTTGTTCTATTGTTACATTTTTTTTTCTTTACTTTCTTACATTTTTATTTAACTAATGTAACATAGAGTGGAATATTTTCCCTGGAATTTAATGTTTTCTATTCTAAAAATCAATAAATGAAATTCACACTGCAGCTTTAAGATGGCAAAAACAATAAGTTACCCAGACTTCTGATTAAATCAATAAATAGATCTGTTTTTTATGGGAAAGGACATTTTTATTGTGGCTTTAAAACTTTAAAAGGATTTTGCACATCATTATCCATTTAGCTGATTCTTTTGGGCTCGACTAAAAGAAAGAGAAACATTTAATCTGTTGTCAAGAGAAGGATTTAAATCACTCTTTTTAGCTACATTTAGCCAAGCTTAATAAAAAATAAAGCAGATTTCTGAGCAGAGATCAGCAGACAGATGTGATCCTATTTACTATAAAACTAAACACAAAGCAAAGCAAAGATAATTGGTTTGTGTTACCACTAACATTTGGCATTTTTGACATGACACTCATTAAACATGAAAAGACTCCATCTGCTTCAAATGGGCTCCAGATCTGACATTTCTGTATTAAAGCTGAAGTATTTAACTTTTAAAAGAAAATATTTTTTTATGGACTGTTTGAAACTGGCACAATGTCGTGACAGTATGTTATGAGGCAGATAATCTGTCAAAAGATCAATCTTCTCTGGTTTCTCCTAACTATCTCAAAACAACCAATCAGAGCCAGGAGGCGGGGCTTATGCTGTGTTCACATCAAACGTGTTTCGCATGTCAAATACATCAAAATTGCTCTACAAGGATATAGGGACCAGCCGTTGTTTTACGTTGCCAGTCTCTTTGTACAATGGCATTTGATATTGACAGAGTGGCACAGCAAATATTGTAGTGAAAGTTTCTGCAATCGTAATGGAGGCTCAGATGAATTTGCTGAACATTTGGTGTTCGGTTCCAGCTGGTCACGGCCGACGCACGTTGGAGCCTCTTAGCTTTTTTTTCTTCTCTCAGTTACTTTGAACAATGGCAGATGAAATATTGAGTGCCTAGGCTTTTTTTAAACACAAAGCAAAGCAAAGATAATTGCTTTGCTTTGCTGTCAGATGCCTGTTTAAATGTACCAGATAATTCGCAGGTGTTGTAAGTTTGGTGAGTTTTACAAGCTAGCTGGGCACTGATGAGGGACGCTATCAGCGGTGTTTTTGCCTCACCTCAGCCCAGTTTAATGAAACCAATGCGTGAAAAACACGCATTGGTTCCTGCATCTGGTGGCAGGAACACAACTTCAGGGCACTATGTCATATGACTGAGTCTCTGATTGGTTGTCAAGAGTCAAAACGTCAAAACGCTTCAACTGTGCAGCGTTAGATGCACAAAACACCCCGCAACGCGGCCTCAACGCGGCCTCAACGCGCCCTCAACGTGCCCTCAAAGCGCCCTCAAGGCGCCCTCAAAGCTCCCTCAAGGCGCCCTCAAGGTGCCCTCAACGCGCCCTTAGGGCGCCCTCAACGCCTGTCCACATAGACTTTGTATGTTACCAAGACGCTGAAATCATGTTCAGCGTGATGGCAGTTAAATGGTTTTCTTCTCCACTGTTGACACATCTATTAGCCCATACACAAGATTGATTGACAATGCTAAGACCCGCCTCCAGACTATAAATGGTTGTTTTTGGTCTAAAGTTGTGCATTTCTTCAGATGGCAATAATACCTTATGGAGAAAATGGAGGCGATCGATTTATTCATAGATTGCTTGTCTGATAACAAACTGTCCCGACATGGTGTCAGTTTTAACAAATATGTAAAAAAAAAAAAAAAGAAAAGTTAAAAGTTTCATACTGCAGCTTTAAAGGATAGTTCTCAATCTGCTAAAAACGTCTCCAGATGAGCAAAAAAAGACTGGATCCAACCTGACAGGTATTTGGCAGTATGCATCCTGCTAAGACGGTTAATTGAAGAAAATTTGATGGAAATCTGTTCAGGTCTTGGGTTGACACTTCAGTCTGGAGCTGTTTGGATTCAGTTTCAGCTGTCAAATGAACAAATTGGCCTCTAACTCTTGAAATTGTCAAAGGTTATATTATATTTTCATCCTTGTTGAAATCCTTGTTAGTGTCTGATTTCACTGGGAAGCAACAATGTCCTCCAACATTTTGGTGTTTTCAGACAGATTTGTGTCCAAACATGTGGTAGACATTTGGGCTCATGAATTTTGAAGGGTTAGTTCTGCTTTCTGCACCTGGATTTTAACTGATTCTATAACTTTTACAAGCTAACAGATATATTTCTTATGTTTTTGCACTTATAAATCAGCAAGGAATTCAAAATATCTTCTTTTATAGGTTCAAATAACGTTTACACCAACTCAGAATCAGGCGATATCCATGATTAGCTTCTTTAATAAAGTCAACCAAATGGACATAGAAAACTTAAAAAAATAAAATGACAGAAATAAAGTCAAAATATTACAAAAATTAGGTCATAGTATTATGGCAATTTAGTTGAAATAATGTGAGAATAGTCATAGCATTATATCAGTAGAGTTATAATTTTACTTTATTCTGGTAATATCATAACTTTATTTTTAAAATATTGGCTTTATTCTCATTATTATGACTCTTTTAATAATTTGACGTTTATTCCTGCATTACTTTGTTTTCACAATATTATAAATTTATTCCCAAATATTGACTTTATTGTTATTATTATGACTTTATTGTTGCAATTTAATACATTTATTCTCATAGAAGTGATTCTGGTAGAATTGTATGACTGTTTTAAAACTTTTGATGTTATTCTCATAATTATGACTTTATTCTTGTAATACTTTAACATTTTTGTCAGAGTACGCTGTCGTAGAAATGACCCTGTCTGTTTTATCTTCTTCTCCTGTATTGATTAGAACGAATTGATCTAATTTCCAATTGACTCTTTGCTGGTTTTTTATTCCCAAAAACGGCATCATTATTAATTTACTAAAGAAAACATCTAGTTTTCTTTCAGTTTTTTGGAATAAACTGTTTAACAGCTCTTTTCCATTACGATGCAATCCTACCAGCCTCACTGAGACGGAAAACATGCGGCCGAGTCCAGGAATGTGAAAGCTGAATTTGAGTTTTTACAGTACATCCATGCTTCCCGGCCACCTGGAGTCCATCCTGCTGCTACGCTAACACGTTCATCTATCTCACTGTCTGTCTGCGTCTATTTATAACTCGCTGGATTGGATTCCAGCCCTCCCAACGCTGGGAAACATGGCTGATCCTGACATCCAGGAATCTAGTGTTACTTTGAAATCCTGCCTCATAATGGATGGATCGATTTAGAAGCTGCATTTTTTCTGCCGTTCATCTGGACATCCTGTAGCTGGATACAAATTAAGCAACGGAGCTTAAATTGGTATTAAGACACAACATGAAACACAACATTTAGGCCTTTTTCTTTTTTTTAATACAACTCTACGCCCAAAACTTTAAATTTTATTTAGAGTTGCACAGTTGAGCAGTTGGTAGCATTTATGGCCTAAACTCCCCTTATCTATGTGTCTGTTTTAGTATTTCTTATTTTGTAAGGTGTATTTTTTCAGTGAAAACTATGTTTAGTAGTTTGTTAAAGGGTTAACAGAGGATGCAATAGCTTCCTGAAGGCAGAAAAATTTTGCTTGGAATTTCAGAGACATGTTGTCAGTAGTACATAGAATAAAAGATCAATGTTTATTTTACTCAAACATAAACCTATAAAAAGTAAGATCAGGGATAATTTTAAGCGATCTCATATCTGTAAATAACATTTTGTCTCAGACAGTAATATATATTTTTACAACAACTGAATTCAGTTATTTGCTCATGCTATAAAATGACACAATGTGCCTGGAAAACACATATTCTTGCCCTTTTCATGGTTCCACACATCTGTCGCTTATCCAAAATGACACATCGACTTCTTGTGAAAACATCTGGAACATAGATTCAACTTGAATCACATCAGTTGCCACAAAAGCCTGGCTGTTACTTAAGAGACCAGTTAGCTGGCGTATTCTTTCCTCCTGTGAAGCCCTGAAATCTCCAAGCGCATGAGGAAAGGAAAAACCTCAGGGTGGAGGTGTGTCTGCGTGTGTGTACTCGTGTGTGCGTGTGTGTGTGTGCGTGTGTGTGTGTGTGTGTGGAGGTGGAAATGGGCAGCAGGGAGGAGGAATGTGAAACATTTCTGGTGCTGGACCAGAGGCTGTTTGCACAGCAGTGACATCAGAGGCCAGACTTTATAAATGTCAGCAGGCATGAGAACGAGCTCTTAGCGAACGGCTCCCATCCATCACACAGAGGGAAACACCGAGCAGCACCAGGATCGCAATGGGCCGACTGGATCGCGGTGTGGTTACTCTGGCTGCGTTGCTCTGTGTGGCCACACAGGTGAGGCCTGCTCACACTCATCCATTTATAGGTTAAAATCAACTGTCAGGAAGTGGAAAAAGGGTCCAAATTAAAACAATAAGGTCAAATTTTTGTGATTTTCCTTTTAAATTATAAACCAGAAAATGCAGGAAAATAGCTGGGGTGGAGATTTGATCAATTTATTAATTTCATTGATGTTTATTTTAAGTCTGGTCAGTATGTCACTCAAATTGAGTCTAAATATTACAAAACACTTATTTAGCATTCATAAATCTGCTGATTTTTTGTAATTTTTTTTATCATGGATAAGCATTTGATTTTCAAACAAAATCAACAACACACAACCTTTAAATGTAAACATTTAACAGATCATTGGCATGGAAACATTGTAAACGCTTTTAGTTTATTATGAGGTAAATAAAACGCACAAAAGTCTGCCTACCAAAATTGCAGCCTGGTATCAATTTCTATTTTTTCAAATGAAAACAAAATATTTTTCAATGAACTTTAATCTTTGACTTCAAGTATTAAAAATGTCCCCATTATTTTTTCAACATTATCCACAAATATTAGTAAAGATTTCAAAAATAGCAACATTTAAATTCGATTTGAGTGAATTCATAATGTAGATAAAAAAAACAAACGTAAAAACATATTTGTTCAGGTTAAATTGTTGATCGGAATGTTTTGGGACTTTTAATCAATGATTGGGATGAAAATCAGATCTTTTTTTTTTTTTTTAATTCTCTCCAGAATGGGAAAACCATCAGAATATGCTCTTACATTAAAACAAATATATATTGATCTTCATAACTCTGTGCAAATAAATGTGTCACATACACTCAGAATAACATTTCAAAAGTTTTAAACGAGTGGAAATGTGACAGAAAAATCTGCTGGAGAGTCAAAGTTGAACTTCTTCCACACACAGTTAGTTAATCAAAGCCAGGTATCAGACTAATTCTAGCTAAAAAACTGAAATCAATGTATTTTTTTTTACATGAAAAGGATGTAAAGTATTACTTTGCAACAGGAATAATTATGTTTTATAAAAACAGAGCAGCTGCATTGGATTTTGGGACAAAGGCTGTTGAGACTTTAATCGTAAAGGACCAAAAAACAAAAAATAACAACATACACCTGAAATACCCATTATGTAATTTGGGTATATGTTTTATTTTTGGTTGTAAAAATGTATTTACCTTTACTTTTTGTTTGAAAGATCTTGGATCTTGATCTTTTTTTCTGGGATTTATTGAACTGCAACAGTACATTAAGAACAGCAGAAAAAACGGAGAGTAAATATACTAAAAATGTCTGGCTTTTATTCACAAATATTCCATTATGCAGCTCAGAAATGTCCTTGTTTTTGTAAAACAAAAGTTCTGATTTTAATCTAAAATTTTGGGTTAGGGTAAGGTTTTTGGTGGTGAAAAGTTAATCCATTTTTATTTTTACAAAATTGTTTTAATACGATATCGTAGAACCCTTAAAGATTTACTCCAACTGTGATGCAGCCCCTGAATATTTCTATATTTTTTCTTTTGGAAAAAGCAGGTTTCATACTTTGCATGTTTTATTCTCAGACCTCCTCACCATTTCTCATGTTTTCCTTTCAGGTTCTGTGCCAGCTGTGCAACAGGCCCTGCCTTTGCCCTGCTTCTGTCCCTCAGTGCGCTGCAGGCGTCCCTCTGGTGCCGGACGGCTGCAGGTGCTGCCAGGTGTGTGCTCGGCAGCGAGGCGAGTCGTGCTCAGAGATGCTGCCCTGCGACAGGCAGAAAGGACTGCAGTGTGACTTCAGCGCCAGCTTCCCTGGAGACCCGGGAGAGTGTGTTGGTAAGTGAAAAACACACACAGACCAAATCTGCATGAGAGAGCAACACAGACAGTGAATGTTTAGAGTCTGTGCTGCTGGGAGGAAACAAGTGAGGGCTGGCAGTGATATTCCAGGAAGACTAAATGTTTTTATTTCTATTTCCATGGCTCCTGTAGGCACATTTTTTCAAATGACTGCTGATTACATGACTGGTGCAAAACTCTGTTGATATTTAGTTAATATTAATATTAACAGTTAAACACAATTAAAATAGCACATGGATATATATGTGGTCACTAGATAAGTCATTAAAAATATGCTATGGCATCATCCTCCTATCACTTCCTGCCAGTAACACCGGTTGTTGATTCCAATGAAAAAAAAGTTTCTATTGCAATTTTGCTAAATAAATTAATATTGTACATCATTCTTGCGCAAAACCCACAATGTGTTTTTTTTTTGGTTGTTTGGTTTTCTTATTTTTTTTTTTTCAAAAATTGGTGCGTTTTCATTAAGCAAATGTATTTTTGTGATAAAATTTGCTCAACTTTACAGTAAATGCAGCTACAATAAAAGGCCTTGATTTTCATTAGCATCAGCTGTCTGATTATTGCTAGTTATGTTTCCAGGCAATTGTGATGCAAATTCTGAGCAATTTTTTTAAGCTGTCGCAAAAAACAATATGCGAATTAGGCATGTTTCCCTTTACTGGTTTGAAGCAAATCAACCAAAGCATGCAAAGAGTAATTTCATCAGATCTTGATACACATGGCTGTAAAAATGCAAACTGTACATCTTTGAAAAGTAGAAGTGGAGCCTTCTGCACAGCAAAAATGCAGCAAGTGGTTTCTGGATGGTAAGTAAACAACAAAAGACTTGTCTTTTCCAGCAGCCATTGTACATCTCATAAACGGGTAGCTGGTTGTGGAACAGCTCATTAACTTAATGCCAAAAAGAAAAACAAAAATAGCTGGGTGTTTTTTTAAGCACCTTGGCTGTTTCTGGTAGCAGTTGAGACCAAAATGTAAATACAAAATTATACTAACTGTGAATTTTGATAATAGGTCTCCTTTCTTGATGTTTTTTTCTGCAGGTGACGAGGATCTGAGCTGCAAGGTGAACGGCATCACGTACCTCAACGGTCAGTCGTTCCAGCCGTCCTGCGACTCCTACTGCCACTGCCGAGGCGGAGGGGTGAGCTGCGTGTCGGCCTGTCCGCTGACGGGCCGTCTTCCCACTCCGGACTGTCCCAGCCCGCAGTTCGTCCGTTTACCGGGGAAGTGCTGCAAGGAATGGGTGTGTGAAAATCTGGAAAACACCGTGATTCAAGACGCCATTACAGGTAAGAGACACCTGGATGGGATGGATGAACACACATTGGATTAAATCCAGAAGAACACTTATAATAAACCCGAAACAAACTGCTCTGTTTTTAATGTTTAAAACATTTATGTTGTGGTTTTCCTTCCTCCTTCTGAAAATGGAAAATGGCACAGTCATCCATCTAACTGAGAAAACACTTCACATAAGCATAAAAACTCTCTCCATGATAAAACATGGCAGTAGTAGGATTGTGACAAACCACATTTCATGCTTTCACAATTATACACAATTTTATTTTGGTCTATAACATAATAAAATACATAAAATGCTCAAGGTTTCAACTTGACAAAACATTCTTTATGCTATGATTAACCTCTGTATAGATTATATTAAAATGTGGAGAAAGAAACAGGAATGCTGAATATGTTGACAAAGAACCAATTTTGACACTTACTAAGATTAAACACTTGAAATGTGTTAATTAATGAACTTTTGTTGTCCAGCTGGAAAGATTTTCTGCCCCCATTTCCATATTTAAGCCAACATAAGTCTGCTGGTTGTGGTTTTGTGTTTAATAGCCATTTCTAAAATCACAAAGCTTTTATTCTGGAAACTGACAGCATAGTTTCCAGTGTTTGGGTTCGTGTGGCTTAATTTCTGTCGATCAGTTAGCAAATGTGTAAAATAATCGTTCAATCCGCTTTATGAGCTCTGTCGATGTCTGGAAGTTTTTAGTGGAGCGTTTTCGCTTTAAACCAGGGTGTGTCCGGCCAAAGGAAAATTCCAAAAGGCCAAATATAAAACACATTTTTCCTCTTTTTGGGGGGTTCAAAACATTTAATTTTGTCACTCACCACGTTTCCTCGTTTCATAACAAAAACCGCAGCTGGGGAAGGTTTAAACATGTGAAGATTACGTTACTCTGTTAAAAAAAGGGGAGTGAGTGTTTGTGCATGAGGCTGGTGTTAGGAATTCAGTCCCAGCTACAGCGAGCAACACATCATTATGGAAACAACGAAGGGACATTTTGTTATTGTTGTGCTTGAAAAACATTATTCTGAGACAGTTTTGAAAAGGAATGTAGTTTTTATAGTACAAGAATTAAACACAATGAGAACTGTTAAAACATGGCTCTTTAAACTTAGAAGAATGAATGAAGGCAAACAATACATGTTTAAATGTTCACTTTCACCAGTTCATTTTTGCATTAAATCACAAAGTTTGACCAAAATGAAACTCCGAGAGTCCAGCTATGAGACACATGGTTTTGATTTAAAAACGTCTCTCCACCAGTCAAAGTTTCCTACTTTCCTAAAAACATCCACAGCTGCGTCCTTATGTAGCATTACATTATATCCTGGAATATTTCCTGCAGCTGCTTTTCTCCTGGGTGGCTTGGAGTGGAGGGAGGTTCGCACAGGTACATGCAAAAAAATTAGAATATCATTTTAAAAAAACTAAGAGTGAAAGTATTGTGTTTGAAAGTATTGTGTTAGAACAATTCATACAAGAGTATTAATTTATCAAAAAGTAAGTCTATCTATCTATCTATCTATCTATCTATCTATCTATCTATCTATCTATCTATCTATCTATCTATCTATCTATCTATCTATCTATCTATCTATCTATCTATCTATCTATCTATCTATCTATCTATCTATCTATCTATCTATCTATCTATCTATCTATCTATCTATCTATCTATCTATCTATCTATCTATCTATCTATCTATCTATCTATCTATCTATCTATCTATCTATCTACCTATCTCTGTCTGTCTGTCTGTCTGTCTGTCTGTCTGTCTGTATATGATATATAAAAATAATATATATAATTTTGTATATATTACATATGTGATATTTTAAAATATATACAAAATAAATATATAAAAAATATTAAAAATATTATATATTTTAGAGATTAAAAAATATAGATTTCTATAATTTTTACATTTATTTTATTGGATTTTACATTTATGTCTTTGTTGAAGAAGATGCTCTATGCCTCTTTTTTTTAAATGATCATGATTCTCTGTGTGGGGCACAGCCTCCCATTGCCCCCCCATGTTGTTGCCACTGTGAAAACATCCTATCTTGACATTTTAAACAAAATTTTAGTCTATATAAGATTCTTGTTCTAATGTCTTACTATTCATTCCAAAGTTTATTGTCTTGGTGCCATGCTGACCAAAAGCTTCATGCTGCAGATTTCTCCAACTCATTTTTGTTTCTGTTTCTCTTCCAGCCATGAATCCAGGCAGGTCGGGGTCAACGATGCCAGGAGCTCCTGTCCTGAAACAGCTGGTCCTGCCAGCCTCCAGCTGCGTGGAGCAGGCCACCCAGTGGAGCGCCTGCTCCCAGAGCTGCGGGGCCGGCATCTCCACTCGGGTCTCAAACCAAAATCCTGCCTGCAAGCTGCAAATGGAGACCCGACTGTGCAAAGTGCGGCCCTGTGGAGCCGTTCAGCCTGCACTAAGGAAACCCAGGGTAAGCTCAGACAACTCTACAAAATGTTTCAAATATTTCTGAACAATTAGCTTTAGGAAGTGTGATGATTAAAAAAAATAAATGACAGAACAGAAACTAAAATAACTTGATTTTATTGTATTTTTGAATTGCATAAGCAAAATAAAAACTTTAATGTCATTAAATATGTTTTGCTGTGCAGCAGTTTATAAATATGCAACTTGAAATAGAAATATGTTCAGTCTTCAATTTTCAGGCATTCAGATAATTACATTAGCTTTCCAGAGACTATGGTGTTTATATTTAAGCTGCTGCCAGTAAGTAAAATTAGACAGTGCTAAAAGTTTAATTACATCTCCTGCTGCTCATGTGAAGCGATGGAAAGCAGCAGGGATTTGCCACGCAGCAGTAGGCAAACTCTTTCCTCCAAAACAGAAAACATTTTTTTTTCTCTTACCACAGACGTTTCTGTGCTTTCCTCCGAACCACACAATTTTTTATCATAATCATTATCTTTTTCCATTTTTAGCTAAATTATAGATGCAGCAAGGAGTTACTATGTTTACTAAATTCCCAAACTGGCAAAGTGTTTACAAATGTTGTATTTCCAAAGGTTAACAGACTGTAGTGCATGAACTGAAAAGAAATTTACATCAAATTAGTGTTTACTATGGCCGCCTTTTGCATTCAAAACACCAATCATACAATTTTATTGAGGAGTTCAACTGGTAGGTCATGCAGACCTTATCGATAATAAACATTTGTTTTTGCATTATTTTGCCTTTGACATAGTACTTGAAAATGGCCACAAGAAAACAATATTATCTTTCATCACAAGAACTTGTGGAACAATCTGTCGTCTAGCAAAATTTGTAAAATCTGCAAAAAGCCTTCTAATTTACCTATATTCTTGATTTCCCAGAGGGGACAGCAGGGTTGGTGCAAAGCCAGCTACAGGTCACCAGGTCTCATCCGACTCGTGCATCATGGCTGCTTCAGCACTCAAGCCTATCAGCTGCGGTACTGTGGCCAGTGCAACGACTCTCGATGCTGCACGCCACACCAAACCTCCACCGCTCAGGTGACCTTCCGCTGCCCTACTGGCAGACTCCTGCAGAAAGCTGTCATGATGATCCACTCCTGCGTGTGTCACAACAACTGTCCCTACGCGCCTTACAAAACCCGGCTCTCTGGGCACACAGGCCCTGATTGGTCTGTGGAGAATCGGACGACTGATCTGATAGGCTGGCTGGTGAAAAACATCTCAAGGTTCAATGTAAATGAAGACAGACATGAAAATGATCAGGGGAAACTGTGACTGACCTGAACGAATGTTGATTTATATACATTGATGAACTCTGCACTCTCTTGAAAGCTTCAAGAAGCTCTGGCATCTTTTAAAGCATTTATGTGGTCATTTTAATCACAATTTAAACAACTTTAGTTCAAAAACATTCTCTTAAATAGGAACTATTCTGCAAAATTCACATTTTGCACTGCAAAAATACAAAATCTTGCCAAGTATTCTTGTCTAGATTCTAGTGCAACTTGAAATAAGACAAAAAGAACTTTTGAGTAAATTTTCTGCGAGTTATAGGCGCTTGTTTTAAGTAAATAAATCTTTAATATTGATGAAAACTTACTAGTTCCATTGGCAGATTATTTAACTTATAATATGGGAAAAATATTTTGTTGTAAATGAAATAATCTATTAGAACTAGAGCTTTTTCATCCATCTTGAGAAATTATTGACTTAAAATCAGCTCCTATAGTTTGCAGAAAATTTACTCATAAGTTGGTTTTGTCTTATTTCAAGCTCACTAAGATATTTGTACGAGAAATTAGACAAAAGTTTCTTATATATTTTGCGATTTTTTACTTATATTTGGGTCTCTATTGCCCCTCACATAACCTAGCAAGCACAGCCAAGCTCCAGCATGTTTTGACTATACTGCGGCTGCTGGAAAAGAGAAATGCTTTGATGTTGAGTTACCATCCAGAAACCACTTGCTGGATTCTTGTTGGTTGTGCAGGAGGCTCCACTTCTGCTTTGCAAAGGTAATAAGTCATAATTGGTTACCTATTTGCAGCCATTTTTACATGTGAACGTAAACGTTGAGTTGGAGGGCCAGCGGCTTATTTGGATGTAAAGTGAATTGAAACAGTTTGGCAAAGAAGAGGGAAAAGGACTTGATTTGTTTTCCTGAAACCTGACCTTTGACCTAACTAGATTTAAAGTAATACATATTTTAAATATGTAGCAGCATCTTTTGGAGCTAACATGTAAATAGATTCTAGTACATGTCCATTATCTGTTGTCAGTGTACTTAAAGAATAACTTTGAGCAGTGATTTCATTTTTTCAGCCTCTAAAGTGTACAGTTTTAAAGTCGTAATAGCAGTTTATTGATGTTGCACTTTGTTTGTTGTTGTTTATAATGTAAATATTTTCTAGACAGAAGCTTTTCTTCAAATGAATATTTTTATATCCTGTGTCATAGTTTTTTTTCCTAAATAAATTTAATGTTTTTACAAGTTTTGAATTGAATTCCTTATGAATATTGTGGTATTTTTTTTAACATATTTTACTACTTTGCACTGGTTTTGGGAAGTTTCAAAATCATGGACTGTGAAACAAATTGTCTTTGCATGTCAGAACTGCTCCTTCTGTCAACTTTCAAACTGCTAAAACAATTTAATTGTGTCTGAAATGATAGCTGTATTCATCTTATGCTGTCTATTCATTTGCATTCATACAAAGGTTTACAGCTCAAACCTTTCAGCATGTTCTGACATCTAGTGGTCAGAACAGTGTACTGCAGATGCAGGGCTTTAAACAGAACATTCAACTTGAGTTTAGCAATGAAATGTTTTCTTGTTGCAGCCTCAAAACCAAATCAAGATGTTGTAAATTCTGAATTGAAACATTTTGTTCATTTTTTAATTTATATTTTAAACATGAGGAAATTAGGCCAGCTGCCAGAAGTTCACTTGTAGAACATGAACATGAACATGGACATGAACAGAATTAATTAATGATTCATTTTTCATGTTGGACTGATTGTGCATATTTCTTCAAACCAATGTTTTAGTAAAGAAAGTAGATGTTTTTTGTGGATTTCTCTAATTTTCTGAAGGTCCAAAGCATAAAACTCCCTCAGTATGACACTACCACCGCCTTGTTTCACAGTTGGCACAGTATTCTCAGAAGCTAAAGCTTCCATCTGACTTTACATCTTATTAATCTTCAGACTTTAATGCAACATAAGAACTAAAACTACAAAAATAAAATGAAATAAAATGAGGTTTTTATTGCCTTAGAAATGAAGAAATAACCTATAAATGATGTACTATTAAAAATAAACCACAAAACCTGATTTAATATTTTATAAAATAAAGAAATATTTAACATCATATTTAGACAATTCCCATATGATGTTCAGCATAATGTGTGAAAAACTAATCTTAGGTTCCTTTTTAATACAGTTTGTTTCACTTTTTTAAACAGTATCAGATCTCATGCATAATTCAACGAATGTGGTTTTCAAAAAAAAAAAATCCCCACCATGAACGTTATAAAACAGGAAGTGTCTGAACCATGTGCAGTGTATTTTAGCGTCTTTCTAAGAGCTGAACACTGGCACCAAGAAGAGGAACTCTCCTCAGCCCTTACAACAAATAATGAATCTCACATCTTGTCTTGAAGTCAGCTTTTCCTTTACGCTGATTTTCCTGCCTCCTGTCTTCATCTTTGTGTTCGTTTTTGGACTCATAGCGAATCTATGTGGACTTAACTCTTTGAGGCACAACTGGAAGAAGCTGGGGAACGTCAATGTCTTCATCCTCAACCTTGGAATTGCAGATATTTTGTATCTGCTCATGCTTCCTTTTCAGGTCGCTTACTACCTTAACGAGAGAAAATGGATCTTTGGAGAAGCTTTGTGCAAGGTGACAAGGTTCTGCTTCAACCTGAATTTATACTGCAGCATCGGGTTTCTCACCTGTATCAGCGTGTTCCGTTACCTGGCCATCGTCCATCCGATGAAAGTGATGGGGAGACTAACTGTGACTCGATTGGTTATCATCTCAGCTATTGTTTGGATTTTAGTGAGCATTCAAAGCCTACCAGACATGTTTCTTCTCCAAAAACACAAAACGACACTTTACTATGTTTTGACACAACTGGAAAAGAGCATGTCGAGGTCTACCTGCAGTACAGCCTCATCTGGACAATCACTGGATTCTGCATCCCGTCTCTCATTACGGTGGCCTGCTACGGACATGTGATCGTCTTCCTCTGCTACAAGGATAATGTTGACAAAGTCCTGAAGCAAAGAAGCTTAAAACTATCAATCATCTTGATTCTTCTCTTCTCCATCTGCTACATCCCCTACCATGTCCTCAAGAACTTCAACCTGTGGGCACGAGTTCTTTCCAAACAGGGAATTTGCTACGAATGGTTTAACAGAGTCTACATTGCTCAACGCATATGTCGCGGTCTTGTTTGCCTGAACAGCGCACTCAACCCTCTGGTTTATCTCCATGTAGACGAGGATATCTCTGCTCAGCTCAGGCAGTTGTGCCAGCGGACTCGGCAAGCTGCAAATCAGCTCTCTGCAAACACCCAAACTCTTTTCTCAAGCACATTCAGGAGTACACAAGCTAATTCCTGATGTAATTATGAGTTTAAATTGTTTGCTATATGTTTTTATGTAAATTACACATTATATTAAAAAAAATGGTTACCAGATTGTTTGTGGTTTGTGGGGGCAGTGGTAAATGCATTGCGTATTCAAGTGAGAAGCTTAACTGATATGTAAAAAACAGGATACAGAAGGTTTGAAATAAAATGGCTGAATCAAATCTGTTGCACATAGAAGACGTTTGTTATCTACCAGAGGACACTCAAGTAGTTTATAAATATAATTAACACTTTGCACAGAAAACAGGAAGGATGTCAACTGCTGTAATCAACTGGTGTCATCTACATTTTAACATCCTGGTGCTAACACTGAGTGATCACATTGGTGAAGATTACACAGACATGCAGGAATATCTAGAAAAAGTCATAAAAAGACAGAATTTATTTTCATGTTTTAAAATCTCGGCATCCAGAACATTAAGTCAAGTTTACATTTCAGCAATAAAGCAGTTCAAAGCAATTTACATGATAAAAATGTCTTATTTTGGAAAAAGCAAAATAAGTAAAAAAAAATAAATAAAAAATTCTGACTAAAGCAGTTATAGATCGAAGGCAGCTCTGAACAATTGGAGTTTAAGCTTTGGTTTAAGAGAGCTCAGTGTTTTAGCAATTTTGCTAATTTAAGAAACCAGAAGACCTGAGAGGCCTGGAAGGTTGAAACAACCACAAAAAATTATATGTTCAGTGATTTAAAGAAACAAAAGCGTTTCAACAAATGTTCTCTGAGTGATCGGGATCCAGTGTAAGGACTTTCCAAGGTTTAGTGAAAATGGAAGCAGCATCATCTCTGACGTTTTTAGGCAGACGTGTGAAGACACGTCTGCAAAGATAAATGCAACTAAATATAAACCCCTGGGTGAGGTTCACACATTACAAAAGACGTTAAACTGCAAAACACCGAATCTGACCAAGTATTTTAATCTAATTTCTAGTGTACATATCCTATTACAGTTGAAATAAGACAAAACTAACTAACAGGAATATTTTCAACAAGATAAAGAAGATTGTTTAGAGTAAATAATTCCTTAATAAAAAAAAAATGTTATAGTTCTATTGGCATGTACATTTACTTATAAGTACCAAGCCAACTTTTTCATCAGTATGAAGGAATTATTTACTTAAAACAAGCTCCTTTATCCTGCTAATAAGTTACTGTTAAGTTGGTTGCATCTTAATTCAAGAGTACTAAGCTACTTGTGCCTGAACTAGACAAAAAAACTTGGTAAGAGTGTTTTTGCAGTCTTTAATCTTTAAATATTTCGTTGGTGATAAAAGGTTGACTCTGTAATTATCTTTATGTGTCTCTGAAGGTTCACCGTTTATAGCTGTAATAACTGATATACATGATGTTCGTGTATAATACAAAAACAACCCCGCTTCAGCTTTACAGATTAGCATTTCAACATTTTCCAAATGACTCACAAACACGCAGCTGACGCTGACAAATCCAGCTATTTTTTCACAGTTGTATATTCTGAGTTTCAGGCCATGAAAAAAAAAGGAAAATTCAAACACCGGATTTAAAATTCAGCACAAGCAAATAAGAAAAGTCTTTAAAAAATTAAACCACGCTTTCTATTGATGGGGCTTTAAGGTCAGAGGGAAGGATTCAACCAGCAGCCCTGGCTCCAGAACCAGGCTCTGGAAGAAGAAGTCGCTTTAAAAGTCGTTTTTTGGAACTCACACATTACATTTTCCCTTGTACTGTTTGAAAATAGGACTTTACTTCTGTTTCTCAGTCTCAAACCTCTGTTAAAAAAACAAAGCAACCTTTATGGCTACAGTGACGAAGAAGGGAAGGTGCAAATGTGGCCACGGTGAACTCTGCAGCCTGCGTATAGACAACCATTCACACCTTACTGGTAACAAAGGAAGTTACTCTGCACGTCTCTTCTCGCATCTCTTGCATTTTTTTCATTTGAACTGTGATAGTCTGCTCATTTACTGTCATTATACTTACAACAATGGAAAAAATGTGAGTGTGCTCTTCTGGTGTGGTGCATGTCAGAAAACCACAATTGATGTTTTAAATGCAACTAGAAAAAATGCATGTGAAGTTAGAGTTACGAGGCTCTGGACTCTTTGTCTTTTTAGAGGCGTGAACGCTGTTGAACTTTCAATTTTGCACAGCCGCTAAAATTTGATGCTATGAAGTTAACCGGAAACAGCCTCGGCTGTAAACGGTCACCCTGCTCTGTTAATTTAATATTTGGAAGCTTGAACACACACAAACTGAATTTATTTCACTTGCCAATATTAAGATTTAAACTTCTGCTCTTTTGTACAGCAGGTCAGTTTGGTTATACGTTAATATCCTAGTATACAGTAGATTTACTTCATTGTTTCATGACTGCGTAGTGGCTTGAAATCAAAAAAATTATCCAAATAATGTGCAATTTATGCTAAAATAAAACAATTCTATTAAAAGGAAAATTAAAACTTCAATACTTCTGATTTATTTCGACATTCAGTTTTCTTTGGTAGAAGTGTATTAAATTCTGACAATCTGCCAGTGGAAATTTTATTTTATCTAATTTCAAATCTAATTTCATTGTGCATAGCCATCCTCATGTGACTCCACAACTTTGATTTTCTCCAATCATGAAGTAATCCTTTTAATACATGTTTGAAGTTATTGTGATATTGCAACACACATTTTGGTAACTTTCGATTAAAAATTATTTGTTCTTTCTGAGGAACAATAGCTGCAGTTTGATTTTGAAAAATGAATTACACAACAAGCTCATGCATGTAAAAATACTTGGTGATTCACTTTCTCTGTGACAGGGATACATGGGCAACTGCCAGATGCAGATCTAAAACCTGATTTGCTTCCCAGGAATTGAAGGCATCGCTTCGGTTGTAGAGCTGTTTAGCTTATGCTCTAAAAAGGTAGAGATATCTACAGATCTTTGACTTTCGAAACCTTTGGACCTGCTCCACACAACATATTATCTAACTTATATAGAATTCAAGGAATAAGATGTTCATGATGTTTTCGTTCTACTTTCATTTTGTGAGCGAAGACACAGAGCAGAAGGGCTAAAGTTTCTGGAGACGAAATGAATAACACTCACTGTCCTCAACCGGATAAGAAACTATTTGAGCAAACAGTCCTGCCTAGTCTTTACATCTTGGTATTTGTTGTTGGATTGGTCCTGAATGTATGGGGAATGAAGTCTTTGCTGCACAACTGGAAGAAACTTTGGAGTATTAACATTCTTGTTCTCAACCTTGGACTAGCAGATATGTTGTATTTGCTGACTCTCCCTTTCTCATTGTGTACCACCTTAAAGGAAACAAATGGATCTTTGGAGATGGATTCTGCAAGGTAATAAGATTCTGCTTCAACCTGAATTTATACGGCAGGTTATACGGTGGTTTTTTGTGCTAACATGCAAAATTAAAAAGGCTGTAATAAAAATACAAATTTTTCTCTACTTTTAACTAACCCCTCCAAAGCCTCACCACACCATAATGTCTTAGAGTGTTTAGGGTTGATGATTATTTTGCCAATTGTATTAAGTGAAAACTGTGGTAGATTAGCTGCTGTTGCTAGTAGCTAAGCTAACACAGGGTGGTTGAATAGCTAATTTAAACATTGCTCTACTGATAATTTGTCTGACATTATTTAGATGTAAACTACTGAATTGGATTAATGAGAAGTCTCCTACTGTAACTCAGTGATGTAAATAATTTTTAAAGATATTTCCAATAGAGGCTCAGTACAAGATTGAGAAACAATGATGATGGATTCATGAATATATGGTGACCTCTAGTGGAAACCTGCTCCGAATCTACAATATATTATCTAACTGATATATTATCTAACTATTATCAACAAAAAGTGTTGATTTTTGTTGATGACAAAAATCAATGACCTCAACATTGATATGTCAATGTTGCAATGGCAACTGATTCTGCTTGTAGCGCAGCCAACACAGAGAAATATGTTGCTTCGAGTTGTTCTTTAAAGTTCTTCTGCGCTATTTTCCCCTTTGCTGGGGAGAATTGCACTAAATTAATGATACGTAAATCTACAGGTTTTATTTAGTTCACTGAATTGATCTACTGCAGCAGCGCGGCGGTGGATGTAAATGAATAGCCTTTTTTATACCCTGCAGTGTTGTGCGCATGTGCGAAATCTCCAGATATAAACAATTTGTTGCAGGCCGTCCATAAAGTCACAAAACCACAAAGGACTGTATTATTTCCAACTCAAACGTTAGCTCGCTGTATAACCTGAGTGCAGGGATTTTAGGGGCCTTTGTTTCTGTTCTAGTTGCATTGACAACACAAGCCAAAAATAATTTTCTTTATAGTAATTATTTTATACATTGAGACAATATGGTACAAATCACAATATGTGCAACTACCCATTTGTTTATTGCTGTCACCTTTTATGTACTTGTGGTGAAGACCTTCTGGATTTCCAGGTTTAGGTTGGCCGACATGTCAACTTCCAATTCCAAACTCTGGGCGTGTTCTTTGTTTTGGCAAGTATTACTTTGACTTCGTAAATATGTCAACAATAACCCAGCTGAATATTTCAGCTGGTGATCGTCACCTCCACCAAGGTTTTTTATTTTTTTGTAGTTTCTAAAGAGAAACTACAAAAGTTAACCTGGGATGTTTGTGGTGTGATGTTACATCCCAGATTAACCGAAAAGAAAAACGTCATTATTGTTTGTGTTGGCTAGGTTTTGCTTCCTTTGTTGTATTAAAGCTCAGAACGAATAATCACTAAAAATATGATTTTGTTGGGCCAATAACCCAACAAAATTTGCCTTCGTTTCTCAAACTTTGTATTTTATGCACTCAATCAAAAAAGATTTGTGTCTGCAATGTTATTTAATTTTCAAGTTAGAATGTGAACGCCAACTCCACGGTGCATTCCTGTAGATTTTAACCTGAGTCTATGAAAAAAAAAAAAAAATTCAAACTAGCTGTTGGTCATTAATTTTATATAAGTGAAATAAATAAAAGAAGCAGCTAAAAATAGTGCGAAGCTAACTGATTTCCAACATGTAACATGTAATTTACAGTTCTTCACAAATTTGATTTTTGAATGATTACCCAGATCCAGTTGAATGTTAGAAAACTAGTGATTTTTTTTGTTTTTATTCATATGCTCAGTGACCAGACTGATTATTGTTAGCAGTATGAGCATTTCATCAGAGCTTTATATGCATTTTATGAACTTAAGCACTTAATAAGCTGGCTTACACATTGTGTGACTCTGAATTATGAAGAAGTAAGCTGTCTTGAGTGCTAATCAATACTTTATTAAAGGATCTCTCACTATCTTTGTTATATATACTAGGCCGGGGAATCCAAGTTGTGTTTGGTAAAGAGGATTTGAATTTCAATGTTGGGATTTTGAATTTTGTTTCCCCAATTTGGACTTCAGAAATTCATCTAAAAATGATTGATCACTCATAGATTTGTGTTTGTCATTCAGCCATAATGTGAAAGTTGCATAATCTTTGAAACGAATCTTCCTGGAATCCATTTTTGCCCGAACAAAGTTCTGGTATTTTACGTGCAATTACAAACCTGCTCCAAACTAAGCGTGTGATGACAAGACGCTTTCCTTGGAAAAGGTACTTAGCCTACGGCATGACAGAAATTCAAGGAGGAAGTCATTCAGGTTGCCTTCATTTACTTGACTTTCATTTTGTGAGCACCGCCTCAGAGGAGAAAGGCAGAACTGGCTTTCTTCTGGAAGACAAAATGAACACAGCCAACTGCATAACAAGACACAAGGACTTATTTGAAAATAAAGTCCTGCCTGCTCTTTACATTTTTGTACTCGCTGTCGGACTGCTGCTGAATGTATGGGGAATGAAGTCTTTGCTGCACAACTGGACGAAACTTCGAATTATTAACATTCTTGTTCTCAACCTTGGACTAGCAGATATGTTGTATCTGCTGACTCTCCCCTTTCTGATTGCGTACTATCTTACAGGAAGCAAATGGATGTTTGGAGATGGATTCTGCAAGGTAACAAGATTCTGCTTTAAACTGAATTTGTATGGCAGCATTGGATTCCTCACCTGTATCAGTGTGTACCGGTACCTGGCCATTGTCCATCCAATGAAAGTTAAGGGGAGACTGACTTCAACTCAATGTGTAGTCAGTTCAGTCATGGTGTGGATTTTTGTAAGTGTTCAAAGTATTCCAGACACGTTGTTCCCCAAACATTCAGAGAACGAGACTGAACAATGTTATGACACAACTGATTTGAAAAATGTGGAGAAATACCTGCACTACAGCCTCAGCTGGACGTTCATCGGTTTCTTCATCCCGTTTGTCATCACCGTGGGCTGCTATGGACATGTGACTCTTGTTGTCTGCCGCTCAAACACAATGAAAAAGGAACGGAAACAACAAGTCTTAAAACTGATGGTTTTATTGCTTTTTCTCTTCTCATTTTGTTATGCGCCCTACCATGTTTTCAAGAATCTCACCCTGTATTCCAGAGTTCAGTTTACCAGGGGGGTTTGCCCCTCGTGGGATTCTGAAGTGTTCATCGCACACCAGGCAAGTCGTGGCCTTGTGAGCCTGAACAGTGCTATTAACCCGCTGGTTTACTTAAATGTAAATAAGCATATGAGTGTTCAGTTGAAGCAGCTGTTGCATCAAGGTTCACAGAGTTTCAGACGTTTGTTCGAGTCCAGATCCAGTTCTACGCCGGTGCCACAGAATGAGGAAGAAGCTGTGAGTCCTTTATGAGAGAAGGTCTGTTTTTTTGCTGACTGTCAAGTGGGAAATTGTTGTGACATTCTTTTCACATTGTATTCATTGTATTAATCATACTTAACTGTCCCTGCTGCAATATCAGATAATATAATTTGGGAATGGAGAAAATCTCTTTTGAACACATTTGGTTGAATCATTTTTTTGTTTGTTTGTTTTCATCCACACATGATCAAAATTATGTATACCCCTACAGATTTATTCTTTCCTTCAAATGTTCATTATGAATACAGATTGTAATATAATGCAAAGATATTCAGACTAAACACAAATCAGTTTTTTGAATGATTCTATTTATCAAAACAAACACATCCTAAACTGAATAACCTGTTTGGTCTTGAGTTCCTTAGCTGCAGCAACCATAAAGTGTGGTGGCTGGATGTCTGGAAATGAGTCTTTTACGTCACTGTAAGAATTTTGGCTCATTCATCTCTTCATATTTGTTTTGATTCTGCTGCTGAAGGATCATTAGCCAGATTTTAGCACTTTAGGTTCCTCTGGACTTGATAAAGTGCTATTCAAATACCAGTAATTTACATTTACCACTCTAAATTCTCAGTTATTATTATTATTTTTTCAGATATTAAAGCTGGGTTGAGTTGCCTGCAGAATTCATTCCCTGCTACATAATTTAAGTGTGTTCAAGGTTAAACACACTTAAATGGAAAACACTCTTACATATGGAAAACTTGACAACAAGTTTTCCATATGTCACAACATAATCAGAAAAAATCAGTTCTGTAGAAATGGGCGTGACTTATACAGTTAGGGCCAGAAATATTTGGACAGTAACACAATATTTGTGAGTTGGGCTCTGCATGCCACCGCATTGGATTTGAAATGAAACCTCTACAACAAAATTCAAGTGCAGATTGTAACGTTTAATTTAAAGGGTTGAACAAAAATATCTGATAGAAAATGTAGGAATTTGTTTACAAACACTCCACATTTTAGGAGCTCAAAAGTAATTGGACATATAAACATAACCCAAACAAAAAAGTTTTTTCTCAATATTTTGTTGCGAATCCTTTGGAGGCAATCACTGCCTTAAGTCTGGAACCCATGGACATCACCAAACGCTGGGTTTCCTCCTTCTTAATGCTTTGCCAGGCCTTTACAGCCGCAGCCTTCAGGTCTTGCTTGTTAGTGGGTCTTTCCGTCTGAAGTCTGGATTTGAGCAAGTGAAATGCATGCTCAATTGGTTTAAGATCTGGTGATTGACTTGGCCATTGCAGAATATTCCACCTTTTTGCTCTCATGAACTCCTGGGTAGCTTTGGCTGTATGTTTGGGGTCATTATCCATCTGTACTGTGAAGCGCCGTCCGATCAACTTTGCAGCATTTGGCTGAATCTGGGCTGACAGTATATCCCGGTACACTTCAGAATTCATCCGGCTACTCTTGTCTGCTGTTATGTCATCAATAAATACAAGTGACCCAGTGCCATTGAAAGCCATGCATGCCCATGCCATCACGTTGCCTCCACCATGTTTTACAGAGGATGTGGTGTGCCTTGGATCATGTGCCGTTCCCTTTCTTCTCCAAACTTTTTTCTTCCCATCATTCTGGTACAGGTTGATCTTTGTCTCATCTGTCCATAGAATACTTTTCCAGAACTGGGCTGGCTTCTTGAGGTGTTTTTGGGCAAATTTAACTCTGGCCTGTCTATTTTGGAATGATGAATGGTTTGCATCTACATCTGAACCCTTTGTATTTGCTTTCATGGAGTCTTCTCTTTACTGTTGACTTAGAGACAGATAAACCTACTTCCCTGAGAGTGTTCTGGACTTCAGTTGATGTTGTGAACGGGTCCTTCTTCACCAAAGAAAGTATGCGGCGATCATCCACCACCATTGTCTTCCGTGGACGCCCAGGCCTTTTTGAGTTCCCAAGCTCACCAGTCAATTCCTTTTTCCTCAGAATGTACCAGACTGTTGATTTTGCTACTCCAAGCATGTCTGCCATCTCTCTGATGGATTTTTTTTTTTTTTCAGCCTCAGGATGTTCTGCTTCACCTCAATTGAGAGCTCCTTTGACCGCATGTTGTCTGGTCACAGCAACAGCTTCCAAATGCAAAACCACACACCTGGAAACAACCCCAGACCTTTTAACTACTTACTTGATTACAGGTTAACGAGGGAAAGGCCTTTTGAGTTACTTGCAGCCTTTAGAGTCCATTGTCCAATTACTTTTGGTCCCTTGAAAAAGAGGAGGCTCTGCATTACAGAGCTATGATTCCTAAACCCTTTCTCCAATTTGGATGTGGAAACTCTCATATTGCAGCTGGGAGTGTGCACTTTCAGCCCATATTATATATAAATTGTATTTCTGAACATATTTTTGTCAACAGCTAAAATAGCAAAACCTGTGTCACTGTCCAAATATTTCTGGCCCTAACTGTACCTGTCTGAACAGGCATTTACAGGTGGATGAAAGAATGAACTCACACACTGTTATTCTCAAACAGCACATATACACAGAATTAACACCATTTTTCTCCAAAATGTTCCATAAAAATGTGAATAATTCACCAAGGTGGTTCTGGAAACTTAAGGAAAGGCTACCGGAATAGAGGCTGCACCTGGCGCGTCGTGAGCCCCGCATATAAAGTGTGGCATATGAAAGATGTCAGGCTTTTTATCCGTCCAACTGATCAGCGTCACCGTGCATGTTTTAATCTGGCAGCTTTAAGTCCGTATAAAACTACTGTTTGACCAAATCTGTAAACGAAGATCAGGACGAAGATCAGGCTGCATTCTGATGGAGTGACAGAACCTCCCTCTGCCCTGCCGCATCATGACGGGTCGTCCCGCAAAGTCAAGGAGCCGCAGCGGAACATCCCGCTGCGCATCGCTGAAATTCACTGATTCAACGGGATCCGTCTATAATAAGTTTATTTAATGATGTTTCAAATCCATAATTGTAGTCAATGTGATAATATGGCTCCTATGTGCAGTTACCCGCTTCAGATGTTTAATTCTGCATAGTTTAAAAAATAAAAAATTACTTTGCCAATATTTGCCTGTAAATCTTAAAGCTGATGGCTCTACTGATTCTTCTGTTCTCGCTTTGTTATGCGCCCTACCATATTGTCAAAAACCTCAGCCTGTATTCCAGAGTTCTGCGTAAGCAGAGAACATGCCCCAAATGGGATTCTGGAGTCTTTATTGCGCGTTAGGCAAGCCGTGGTCTTGTGAGCCTGCACAATGCTCTTAACCCGCTGGTTTACCTGTGTCTATATGAGGAAATGGTTTCTCAGTTCAAGCAGCAGCTGCTGAGATGTCACCAGATTGTCAGTCTTCGGTTCAGTATGAAATCCAGCTCAAAGGCTGAACAAGAAGCTGGAAGTGCTTTATGACAGCAGTTCGTTTTTTGTTATAACTGGAACTGATCAGTTCCAGGCAAATAGTGGGAAGGAAGGGGGATGGTATGCAAGCGGAGGGGGATGCTTGAGCCCCTGCTCCCTTTATTTTTGGTATCCCCAGCACCCTTTCTTTAGTTTTTTTATGATAGAGGTCTGCTTGTGCATTCAACAATAGTATTTAGGTAACAATACCGCACAAATAAATTAGTCTGGCTGCCCTTGGACTAATAATGACTGACCCGGTTCTCGGTGCCTGTGCCTCCATGTCATTAGGACACCGCGCCCATGGTAAGGAGTAGGAGGGCGGAACTGTGGCCTCTAACTACCAAATTGTGGGCAAGAATATTTCTTTTCAGCAGACACTTATTTTTGAATAAAAACTTAGGTTTAAAGGTGAAGTTAGAATAAGCGTTACTATTTATTTTTATAAATTTTCTCGGGAAAAACCCTCGTCACCCACAAACACAGAGATGGTTCAGCTGCAGAGTTCACCTGATCAAATTAATCAGGCTAATTAATTAATAAGCCTGATCAATTTGATCAAGCTGCTCCAGTGCTGTCCCATCTAGACACACAAGAAACACAGAAACTGTGCAAAAGACATTTTGCTTTAAAGCTGAGAAGTCATTTACAATATTTACAGAATGCTACATATTTCATATTGTCACATTTTAATATCAGATCACCCAGGTCTTCTGATTCAAGTCTACTCTGCATCCCCAGAACCAAAACATAGAGAACCAACTTCAGTATTCCAGTAAACTCCAGAAGTTCCAAAACACAGTTCTTTTAAAACAGACTAAAAACCCACTTTGTTTAATAACAACTGAAACACTCCAGCGTTTCTCCCAGAAAACCTGGTTAGCTCAGTGGTTGCGGCGGTAAGGCGGCCCACTGTGTTTTTGTATTACAGGATACTGAGTTGACAGCCAATTAATTACATATTACAGGAAAACATCACCGTTGAAAGGCTATTTAAACCGACAACAATAGTCTTTCAAATAAAATAAAAAAATAAAGAAAATGCTGTTCAAATAAATATCCATTATTTGCAATTTTGTGTAATCCAAATTAAGTCAACAGCTCCAGAAGCCACATCAGGCTTTCAGAGTGCTGTGAGTTCAATCTTTGAGTTCGAGCTCTGTTGTTCACAAATACATCTCAGTAACTACAGTTGTCACTGATTGCTTTTTAGATTGGCCAATTAAATTATGCCCATTTCCCATAACTTACTAACTGGAGGGTCAGATTTTAGCTTTATCCCTTTCATTAAACTATGTCAATCAACAAACTATTTAACTAGAGTTTCAAAATTCAACTTTAGATGAGAAGGACCAAATGAAAGAAGAGAAGAGAATCGACCAAAAATGCTGGTTTTATTGGAGCTCCTAACTCAAACTGTTATATGATCAGTGTCCAAACATTTCATCAAATACATCAGAATGTTTCTTCAAAGACTTAAACGTGCTTCATTGTCAATTTAAACCTTGATTTATTATTATTTTCCAATTTGGTTTGATTTCACGTTAGCTCCTGCTAAAAGTGTCAGATCCTGCTAATGTTGTTTGCTATAGCTACTGTAGTAGCTCACAGGAATGTGATCTACATGGTGGATAGCTGGACACGCCTGTTTGTTTGAACAGATATGTTGTGAAAAACGGCACACAAAAATTATGAAGCAGTTTATTTCAATTCAGACATTTTGAGAGCTGCCTCATCAGCCTCCATAACCTTATCTACATTTTATTTCATTTTTACCTCTCTTTGTGAAACATTGTGAGACTGAGACCCTATTGGTCAATTATTCTTAGCATGTATTTTAGTTTTATTGTCAGTTTCACTGCAGACATGCATTAGGTGAACTATGTAAATTATTAGGTATTCCTTTTGGTTTATTTATCAGCTATATCTGACAAGAATGTTTACAAAAAAGACTTGTAGGTTGTGCTATAAAAAGATATCTTCACTTCTTGACAGGAAGAGCCCTGCGGAAATAGACTTATGATCGTTTTTATTTGAGCTGATGAAACTTGAACCTGAACTTGAGCTCAAAGAGGAAGATATTTAAGTTGTTTTCGTCGACTCCATCTTCATTTTGTGAGCAGAGCCTCAGAGGAGAAGGGCTGGACTGATTTGGATCTAGAAGACAAAATGAATACATCCAACTGCATTCAACCCAATAAGAAATTATTTGAACATACGATCCTGTCTGCTTTCTACATCTTGGTATTTGTTGTTGGATTGGTTCTGAATGTATGGGGAATGAAGTCTTTGCTGCACAACTGGAAGAAGCTTTGGAGTATTAATATTCTTGTTCTCAACCTTGGACTAGCAGATATTTTGTATTTGCTGACTCTCCCCTTTCTCATTGTGTACCACCTTAAAGGAAACAAATGGATCTTTGGAGATGGATTCTGCAAGGTAATAAGATTCTGCTTCAACCTGAATTTATATGGCAGCATCGGGTTCCTCACCTGTATAAGTGTGTTCCGGTACCTGGCCGTCGTCCATCCAACAAGAGCGATGGGGAGATTAACTCCGACTCACTCCATGGTCATCTCAACCGTGATTTGGATTCTGGTGGGTGTTCAAAGTCTTCCAGACATGTTCTACCCCAAAACATATCCAAACGGATCAAAATGCTTTGACACCACCTCTTATGAACATATGGAGAGTTACCTGGATTACACCATCGCATGGACAGTCATTGGATTCGGCATCCCTTTAGTCACCATTGTAGGCTGTTATGGACATGTGACTGTTGTTGTCTGCCGTTCAAACATGATGAAAAAAGACCAGAAAAGACGAATCTTAAAACTGATGGCTCTACTGATTCTTCTGTTCTCGCTTTGTTATGCACCCTACCATGTTTTCAAAAACCTCAGCCTGTATTCCAGAGTTCTGATTAATCAGGGAACATGCCCCAAATGGGATTCTGGAGTCTTTATTGCGCGTCAGGCAAGCCGTGGCCTTGTGAGCCTGCACAATGCTCTTAACCCGCTGGTTTACCTGTGTCTATATGAGGAAATGGTTTCTCAGATCAGGCAGCTGCTGACCGGGGGGCGCCAGATTTTCAGTCGTTGTTTCAAGTCGAAATCCAGCTCCGTGCCGGTACCGCAGACTGAGCAAGAAGTTGGAAGTGATTTATGACAGCAAGCAGTTTTTGTCATGAGTTAAATTGTAACAAATAATGTTATGTCAAAATGGTGAAATCCAGTTCAATATGCAATTTCTTTTTAACCCATTTATTGTCACAAGTATAACGTTTTTGAAAACATGTTTGACTCGCTGTAGTTCAGAAAATAAAATACTTTTTCTGGTTTATAGTTCATTGAAAGGCTTTTCAATCAAAAAAAAGGAAGTTCTTTCAACCTTCCACAACATTTATTTCTGACGAAGTGTATTTTTGTTTTTGTATGTGCATTGCATACTTCCTGTTTTATAACGTTCATAGTAAATTCTTCCAGGAAACCATGTTGGTTAGTTTAAGACATGCTTAATAATAGTATCAACCATGTCTTTCGTGATCTACAATGTTAAAAAGCAACCTAAGCCCTGCACACAAAATTGGTTTTGCATAGACTATGCTGAATGTCATAGAAATTTAAATTGAAGTCTAAATGAGATGTTAAAAAAATTTCTTGTATCATAAAAGAATGTATTGGGTTGTTTTATGTTGTTTTTTTTGTCATAAACATTACATAACATGGACTATTTTTTTGTCTGGAACATATTTGTTTTATGTGCGAACATTTACTTCTGCTACAATTGCATGTATAGCAGCAAAACTCACTTTTTAATTTTTCTTTTTTACATTTTAACCTTATATTTTTAATATCACCGTTGTATTGAAGAAAACAATTGTTAAGCATGGTTGTGGTAGCATCATAGAGAGATTATTGTTGCTGCTGGTACATTGGACCCTCTCAGAACGAAAGGAAATCTACAACAAATTCAAGTGTTTGTAGTTAAAATATTAGTTAAAACAAAAGTTTTACTGTGCATAACCTGTTCATCATGAAAAGGCTTCAAATCAATCTTTGAATGATTATGTTTATAATGACTATGTGTACATTTCAGGTCTTTGTCCTACATTATTTATACTTGTGTGGTGGGACCGGTGTGGTTCAATAGAACTATTTAAGACAAAATTGTAATAATTTATCCCCAAAAAGTTATCTTCAAGGCACACAGGCCGCTACATATGAGGCTTGAGACAATCTCACTAATTTCAATAATTTTATTTATTACATCAGTTCATGCTAATCAATAAAATACACCAAGTTAAAACCACTCACATTGAATAAATAACAGTGACGACTCAAGTCAAGGGTGGCAGTGCAGTTCAGGGTAGTGACCTAAGAAACACAGCAAACAAAAACAAAACTAAAGAAAATTGTGCAGCAAATCAAAAGAGTACCACCACCCGGAAAGTCCACCACCAACACCACGAACTGGCCTTTCCTGTCAAGATAAAAGACATTCAAATTACATGAGTCATTTCATAATTGTCGTTCAGTCAACAATCAATCAGCAGCAATTGTCAATTAAGAATTCGTCCTGGGATGCCACGCCACAGACGCCACTCAAGAGCGGCAGCAGAGTCCGTCCAAGCTGGTCGCCAGTCCGAACCAGCCAAGCTGGACAAAGGGCAGGAGTCAGGTTCACGCTGACCACGACGGCTGGCAGAAAGCCAGCAACCAGAGCGACAAATGGACTGCCGACGGACAACCAAAATAACAGCTGACATCAACCAGGAACCACAGGGCAACAGGCAAACAGCCGGCCAAGGACAAACAGCAGCGTCTATAGCAAACATAAGTGTTAAACCACAAATCTAAAAGCATGCAGGTAATGAGCTTTTCACTTACCACAAGCTCTATGTGTAGTGCCTCTGGCTGGGAGGAGGATCAGGCAATTTACACAGGCCACCTAGGTGTACAGTTAAAGCTAAGCGAAGGCTAGGCTAACAAACAGCAAGTATAGGAGCGGCCTCTTACCAGAAGAAGGAGCGATCAACGTGCACACCTGAGTGTGCTATTGGCGCTGCACAGCAACAGAGGTCTAAACCGGAAACACATGTTGACCAGGTGAGGGAGGGCCCCTTATATACAAACAGCGCCACAACCAATTAAATGCCAGCACTTGTGTGGTACGTTCAAAATCTCCAGGGCATACTGCCACACTTGAAATAAAAATAAAGATGTGAACAAACTTCCATGTCGAGAAAGTTTGAGTTGATAGCTGTAAGAGACACACCCATGTTCCAAAAAAAAAGATAAGTGTGCGGTTTAAAAAAATTTGTCACATCCTGTTGTATTTTTGAAGCTTCAACAAGAATGTTTGCATGTTTCCATCTTGTGCATGAATGCCACATTACTTGGGCCCTTTTATTGTTTGTTTGAACCATTTCTTTTTAAGGGTGGACTTATATCTTATGTTTTAGTTCGTATGTGAATGTTTTAGCATATGAGTGTTTTAGTTGGATTTTAACCTGCATATGAGCTAAAGAATCAGTTGCAGTAAAACCCAAGAAATGGCACTACCACCATGCTTAACCAACATGCGTGTTGTTCTTTGCTTTGGATACCAAATATCTACGCCTCAAAACAGATTTCATGTCGTTGTGTCCAAAAAGTTCACATTTTTAGCCAGAAAAAAGGCATGTCAATGCAGGAGATGCTAATATTAAGGGATAGCTGTGCTCACTCAGCAGTGATAGTAAATGGCTGAAACTTGTATATCTCGCTAAAAATTTGTAATTTAGTTACTTGTACTTTCGTGCACTTGGAAAAAATAAAAATAAAACCAGAGAAGACACAAAAATCCTGGGTAAGATTTTGTGTATTTGCAGTACAGCGGCTGAGTGAAAGACAGTTTTTACAAGCTGGTTATCAGAAGATCTATGGTTTTGCTCAGGAAGAGCTATGATTGAATTTAAAGACACACAGAAAACACAGAAATTGTCCAAAAAGGTGTTTTGTTTTAAAGTTGAGAAGTTATTTAAATTATATACGAAATGCTCTGTCACCAATGTATTCAATGTTTTAATAAACACAAAATGTTTAAATAGATGAAGAGTTCTCAACTGTTTATGGCTCAGAGCTCCCTTATTGAAAATCCAGGTCCTTTACAAGCCCATCAAATAAGATACAGCCTACTTGCACTAAACATTATTTTATTTACAATAGCATCACTATTGACATTTTTATTGCTTTTTATGATGATAGAATTATGAGTACCCAGTCCAGGACACAAAAACACCTGAAATTATTTTTATAGCTGTATATGAATGAAATATGCTTTGAGTGGTCAAAATGATTGAAAAAGCAATACATAAGTTTACTCAATTTTACCATTTGACCAACATGCAACTTAAATTAGGAAGGCAGCAACCAATCAGAACAAACTGATTATGTTTATCAGTTATCCTTGATTGATAAACAAACCTGCAGTAACGAGGTGGCAGCAGTGTTCATATTAATCATTAGGGAGATAATAAATTAAACTTGGAAATTGTTTAAACCATAAAACGACCTGCAACAACTTAAATTTGAAGTTGTTGCTGCTCATTCAGCAATCTGATCTATTAATCAGGTCATATAATAGTGATAGGTAAATTATTACATATCAGATTATCTGTAGTATTTCATTTCCGGGAGTAAAATGGTTGTGAAATAAACGTATGACAGAAAATAATTGAGAAAGAGAGAGAAGGGAAGTTTATAATTGTGGTCACAACTAAATTTGAGAACAAGGAGGAACTTAAGTTGTTTTCGTCGACTCCATCTTCATTTTGTGAGCAGAGCCTCAGAGGAGAAGGGCTGGACTGATTTGGATCTAGAAGACAAAATGAATACATCCAACTGCATTCGACCCAATAAGAAATTATTTGAACATACGATCCTGCCTGCTTTCTACATCTTGGTATTTGTTGTTGGATTGGTCCTGAATGTATGGGGAATGAAGTCTTTGCTGCACAACTGGAAGAAGCTTTGGAGTATAAACATTCTTGTTCTCAACCTTGGACTAGCAGATATTTTGTATTTGCTGACTTTCCCCTTTCTCATTGTGTACCACCTTAAAGGAAACAAATGGATCTTTGGAGATGAATTCTGCAAGGTAACAAGATTCTGCTTCAACCTGAATTTATATGGCAGCATCGGGTTCCTCACCTGTATAAGTGTGTTCCGGTACCTGGCCGTCGTCCATCCAACAAGAGCGATGGGGAGATTAACTCCGACTCACTCCATGGTCATCTCAACCGTGATTTGGATTCTGGTGGGTTCAAAGTCTTCCAGACATGTTCTACCCCAAAACATATCCAAACGGATCAAAATGCTTTGACACCACCTCTTATAACATATGGAGAGTTACCTGGATTACACCATCGCATGGACAGTCATTGGATTCGGTATCCCTTTAGTCACCATTGTAGGCTGTTATGGACATGTGACTGTTGTTGTCTGCCGTTCAAATATGATGAAAAAAGACCAGAAACGACAAATCTTAAAACTGATGGCTCTACTGATTCTTCTGTTCTCGCTTTGTTATGCACCCTACCATGTTTTCAAAAACCTCAGCCTGTATTCCAGAGTTCTGATTAATCAGGGAACATGCCCCAAATGGGATTCTGGAGTCTTTATTGCGCATCAGGCAAGCCGTGGCCTTGTGAGCCTGCACAATGCTCTTAACCCGCTGGTTTACCTGTGTCTATATGAGGAAATGGTTTCTCAGATCAGGCAACTGCTGACCGGGGGGCACCAGATTTTCAGTCGTTGTTTCAAGTCGAAATCCAGCTCCGTGCCGGTACCGCAGACTGAGCAAGAAGTTGGAAGTGATTTATGACAGCAAGCAGTGTTTTGTCATGAGTTAAATTGTAACAAATGTGATGTTGTCGAGGTAACTTGAGATCATCCCATTTCTCCATGATGGATATTTTGGTTTAGCAGTGACAATATATAAAATTACCAGTAAAATTAATCATATAAAGTAACATCTAGACCTAAAGTAGAATAAAACTTCAATAAGATCGATATGGTTGTGCTTTTCTGTTTTGTTTCATGTAAACTTTGCTTTAAATCTATTTCTTTTTCCATTTAATCATAAAAAATAAGCAGAGAAAGTGTTGATCTGCTTTTAAAGTCCCTCCACTGGCTCCCTGTAGCTCAAAGAATAGATTTTAAAACATCACAATACATCAAAAATTTGCTGTTGTTGTATCAACCTTCCAGACCTCTCTGGTCTTCTGGTTCTGGTCTGCTCTGCATCCCCAGAACCAGAACCAAGAGAGGAGAAGCAGCTTTCAGCATCTATGCACCAAAACTTTGGAACAAACTTCCAGAAAACTGTAAAACAGCGGAAACCCTGACTTCTTTTAAATCGCAATTAAAACACACCTGTTTAGAATTGTTTTTGAAATGTAATATGTAACAATGTATTGTCTATTATATGTTGCATGACTTTGTGTTCTTGTGTTTATGATGGAAAGCACTTTGAAATGCCTTGCTGAAATGTGCTATACAAATAAAATTTGATTGATTGATTGATTGATTGTCAAGTCATGAAAAGGAAGTGCAGGCTTCCTGAAAAAACAGGAAGCAGGTTTCCAACCTGCAGAAAGTTTTGAAGAATGAAGTCTAAACACTTTAAGTAATTGAATTAATACTTGTATTAATGTTTAGATGCTGAACTAGAGAATCTAAAGAGGTTATGTATGTGATTTTGTCAATGAACTTGAAATTATGTAAAATATGTAACTGCAATCAAAGATCATTGACATGTGCTGGAGGCAGATACTACATGAAAGGTCAGGAAAAGAAGAATCAGTAATAATCATGTTTAATGTGTTTGTGATTCAGAAATGACCTGTAACCTCTCAGTATAGTTAATCAGAGCTTAAACACTGACATGTAAGTGTCTCGGGGGGAGATGGTGCTGATCAGGAAGCAGATGAATGACCCAAGAGAGGAACTGAAACTGCTGCTGAAGAGAAAAAAAGTTTGTGTTTTTTGTTCTCATCCTCACAAGATTAAAATATATACAGTTTTTGAAAAAGTGCTTGTCCCCTTGAATGTTTTTTTTCTTTCACTGTTTTTCTGACACTC